CCCCTCTCTGCTCTGCTGTCCCCACTCTTCATTGTTGTCCAGTCCCTATGCTGTCCCCTCTCTGCTCTGCTGTGCTGTCCCCTCTCTGCTTTGTGCTGTCCCCCCTCTGCTGTGCTGTCCCCTCTCTGCTCTGCTGTGCTGTCCCCTCTCTGCTCTGCTGTGCTGTCCCCTCTCTGCTTTGTGCTGTCCCCCCTCTGCTGTGCTGTGCTGTCCCCTCTCTGCTCTGCTGTCCCCACTCTTCAGTGTTGTTCAATCCCTGTGCTGTCCCCTCTTTGCTCTGCTGTGCTGTGCTGTCCCCTCTCTGCTCTGCTGTGCTGTCCCCTCTCTGCTTTGTGCTGTCCCCCCTCTGCTGTGCTGTGCTGTCCCATCTCTGCTGTGCTGTCCCCACTCTTCAGTGTTATTCAATCCCTGCGCTGTCCCCCCTCTGCTGTGCTGTGTTGTCCCCTCTCTGCTCTGCTGTCCCCACTCTTCACTGTTGTCCAATCCCTGTGTCCCCTCTCTGCTTTGTGCTGTCCCCTCTCTGCTGTGCTGTCCCCACTCTTCACTGTTGTCCAATCCCTGTGCTGTCCCCTCTCTGCTTCGTGCTGTCCCCTCTCTGCTTTGTGCTGTCCCCTCTCTGCTGTGCTGTCCCCACTCTTCAGTGTTGTTCAATCCCTGTGCTGTCCCCTCTCTGCTTCGTGCTGTCCCCTCTCTGCTGTGCTGTGCTGTCCCCTCTCTGCTGTGCTGTCCCCACTCTTCATTGTTGTCCAGTCCCTGTGCTGTCCCCTCTCTGCTGTGCTGTGCTGTTCCCATTCTGCTGTGTTGTTCCCACTCTGCCATGCTGTCCCACCTCTGCATTGTCCCCTCTCTGCTGCATCATCCCATCTCTGCAGCGTCTCATCTGTGTTGTCCCTGCTGTGCTGTCGTCCCTGCTGTGCTGTCGTCCCTGCTCTGTGTCGCCCCATCTCTGCCTCATCCCTGCTCTGCGTCGTCCCATCCCTGCCTTGTCCCATTTGTGCCTCATCCCCACTCTGCGTCACCCCGTTTCCACGCTTCCCATCTCTGTGCTGTCCCTTCTCTGCTGTCTTCTCCCATCCCTGCTCCATCCCCACTCTGCTGCACCTCATCTCCACGTTGTCCTGGCTCTCATGCAGTCCCTTCTCTTCCCTCAGTCTCCTCGGGCAGCGCTGTGCCCACGTCCCACACTTCATCCCCGGCGACGGCAGCCGGAGCCAGCGCTGCGGATCAGGATGCAGAGGATGCTTTGGCTGCAGAGCTTTCCAACAAAGGTCGGTGGGCGCTGCTGCGTTCCTGCCTGCAGGCCCTGCTGTGGGGCTGCCTGCCTGCAGCGCCCTGTTCTGGGCCTGGGCCTGGGGGGTGGGAGCTTCTCCCAAACCGAGGTGGGCGCTGCTGGGGGCCTTTGCCCAGAGCTTGGCCAGCTGGGTGAAGATTTGGCCTGGTTTGCCAAAGGTCAGCCAACAGTTGGCCAATAGTTGACCTGTGGTTGACCAAGGGTTGGCCAATGGTTGACCAGTGTTGACCACGAGCCAGCACTGTGCCCTGGTGGCCAAGAAGGCCAGTTAGACCCCAGGCTGCATTGCCCAGAGTGTGGCCAGCTGGGTGAGGCAGAGGTCTGGCTGGGCCGATGGTCACCCAACAACCGGCCAACAGTTGACCAGTGGTTGATTGATGGTTGACCAGCAGTTCACCAGTGGTTGACCAACAATTGGCCAACAGTTGACCGATGGTTGACCAGGAGCCAACAGTGAGCCATGGTGGCCCAGAAGGCTGACAGGACCCTGGGGTGCATTGCCAGAGCGTGGCCAGCAGAGTGAGGGGGTCTGGTTGGCTAATGGTCGCCCAGCAATCAGCCAACACTTGACCAATGGCTGACTGACGGTTGACCAGTAGTTCACCAGTGGTTGACCAACAATTGGCCAACAGTTGACCGATGGTTGACCAGGAGCCAACAGTGAGCCATGGTGGCCCAGAAGGCTGACAGGACCCTGGGGTGCATTGCCAGAGCGTGGCCAGCAAGGCAGGGGGGGCTTGGTTGGCCAATGGTCACCCAGCGGTTGGCCAGCAGTTGAACAGCGGTCGAATAGTGGTGGGACTCGACCAGCGATTGACCACAAGCCAGCGCTGTGCCCTGGTGGCCAAGAAGGCCGCCGAGACCATGCAGAGATCCCCTCCAACCCTACACATCTGAGGCTGTGGCTTTGATCTGCACGAGAAGCCGGAGCCCCCCGGCTGCCTGTCGCTCTGCTGCAGCCTCAGGGCTCCCGTTCCCCCTCTGCAGAGGACCTGGCCCTGCAGCTGGCCCTGGCCATCCAGCATGGCGACGAGGAGGCGGCCGCGCGATGCGCCGTGGCCCTGGCCCAGCAGCAAGCCGCGCTGAACATCTTGCTGAAGGAGTCCAATTATCCCGAGGATGAAATCTGGTGAGCGGCTCTGCCCTGGTGCCCCCACCCAGGCGGGGGGAAGGGGGTCACCACCGCTCCATTCCTAACGGAGCTCGTGGGGCAGAGAAGGGCTTTGAACCTGGAGCTGCGGTGACGGCACGAGGGCGGCGCTTCTGGAACGGGGGAGGGCAGGTTGAGGTTGGAGGGAAGGAAGAAATTGGTCACTATGAGGGTGGGGAGGCGCTGGGGGCGGGGTGGGGATCTGGGGGGCACAAACCCCCCGCAGACTGCCTGGAATTGGGGCTCACACCCGATGGTGAGACGTGCAGAGTGGGCGGGAGGAGAGCAGCATGTGGGGTAGAAGTGGCAACGTGCTGCTGCTGTGGAATGATAGCAGGTTGGGTTGGAAGGGTCCTTAAAGATCACAGAGCCAGGGAATGGTTGGGTTGGAAGGGTCCTTACAGATCGCAGAGCCAGGGAGTGGTTGGATTGGGTTGGAAGGGTCCTTACAGATCGCAGAGCCACGGCATAGTTGGGTTGGAAGGGTTCTTACAGATCACAGAGCCAGGGAATGGTTGGGTTGGAAGAATCCTGAAAGGCCATAGAGACATGGAATGGTTGGAAAGGTCCTGAAAGGTCATACAGATGTGAAATGGTTTGGGTTGGAACAGTCATTATAGACCACGGAGCTGTGGAATGGTTGGATTGGAAGGGTCCTTACAGATCACAGTGCCACAGAATAGTTGGGTTGGAAGGGTCCTTGAAGATCGCAGAGCCATGGAACGGTTGGGTTGGGTTGGGTTGGAGGGGTCCTTACAGATCACAGAGCCATGGAATGGTTGGGTTGGGTTGGCAGGGTCCTTACAGATCACAGAGCCATGTAATGGTTGGGTTGGCAGGGTCCTTGAAGATCACAGTACTGTAGAACGGTTGGATTGGGTTGGAGAGGTCCTTACAGATCGCAGAGCCGTAGAATGGTTGGGTTGGGTTGGAGAGGTCCTTACAGATCGCAGAACCATGGAATGGTTGGGTTGGAAGGGTCCTTACAGATCACAGAACCATGGAATAGTTGGGTTGGAAGGGTCCTTGAAGATCGCAGAGCCATGGAATGGTTGGGTTGGGTTGGGTTGGGTTGGGTTGGGTTGGGTTGGAGGGGTCCTTACAGATCGCAGAACCATGGAATGGTTGGGTTGGAAGTGTCCTTACAGATCACGGTACTGTAGAATGGTTGGATTGGGTTGGAGAGGTCCTTACAGATCACAGTACTGTAGAATGGTTGGATTGGGTTGGAGAGGTCCTTACAGATCGCAGAGCCATAGAATGGTTGGGTTGGGTTGGGTTGGATTGGATTGGGTTCAGTTGGGTTGGGTTGGAAGGGTCCTCACAGATCACAGAGCCATGGAATGGTTGGGTTGGGTTGGAGGGGTCCT